TTTTTTATCCTTTCATATATTAAAAGGGAGAGATGGTGGAGATTTTTATGCTGATTTACTTGTATTTAGCTCAAAGTGATCTCAGGCAGGTTGAGATTCTTGGTTAGTCTGAATGAGTGAGTCCAAAAGTACTGCCAGAAGCCACAGCCTAGAGGTCAAAGGTATGGGCTTAAGAATCAGACAGGCCTGGGCTGAGTCACAGCTCAAACTTCTAGGTATAACCTTGGACAATCAACCTCTTATTCTCTAATTCCTAATATGTAAAGGTAATAAGACTATCTACTCTATAGGATAGTTAACCAGGCTTAAGTGAGGTAACAGATTGCAAGCACTTAGCATGGAGCTTAGCACAGAGAACCAAACAACATTAACAGTTAGTATTACATCTTATATCCGTTTTAAGACCTGTGACTTAAACAGTGTGTGTTGGTTCTGTCAGTTCTAAAAGAGGACCTGATTCCCTAACCAGCCAACCCCATTCATGTCTGTTCTTCTAAAGTTAGAAGTGAGGGAGAAAGTGCCAACTGGGACCTAAGGAACCATTTCTCAACTGCCTCTGGCCCCTCATACGAGTTTGTCTATGGAAGCCAAGGGACTTTTCTTCTTTTAAAGATGTCTCATCCAAGTTCAAAGACTTATCCTTCCTTCCAAAGAATATGAGCTATAGTCACAGTTTATGATGTCATATTTGCTGTAATGCTTTGTTGTAGTTGCTGAAATGCTCACAGCCTCAGTTGTTGCTTAGATCTTAAAAGAATTACAAGGGGAAGTCAAACTCCATTCTTCAGTAAAATGCAGAACTAGGAATAGTCCCGTTGGGCAATAAAAACATGAAAAGCTTAAAAAATATATATCTATCTTTAGATCATTAAGCCATTACAAAGTCAACCCAGATTCTTTGATTTGACTAAGACCCTATGCTGGTATTTTTAAAGTAAGCTAAATCACCCACGTTTAATCTATGTACATTTCTAGCCATGGATTTTAAAAATCACATTCGAATATAATATTATAGTAGTGACTCAAATCCAAGATACAATTTTGAAAAAAAGTTTTACACTTTGGAAATTGGGATGTGTAAAGTTATTTCGTGGTGGTACTTTTCTTTAAAATCTGACTAATAGTGTATCTTGTAATTGATGGAGTCTTAGACTTATGAAATTATGAAATTCTAAAATTATCTTGCTTTGTGATGATGTTACCTGAGGTGATTACTCTTACTTTGTGTTAACTTAATTACTGGCAAAGGCACAAGTTGAATATATAATAAGGAAGATAATTTAAAAGGCTTCATAAGACTGATGATACATGTGGATCATACAACCATCACTCTAGTTAATATTTGAACTATTTTATGTTTGAACATAACTTTAAAAGTCCCTCAGGGACTTCCCTGGTGGTGCAGTGGTTAAGAATCCACCTGCCAATGCAGGGGACATGGGTTCGAGCCCTGGTCCAGGAAGATCCCACATGCTGCGGAGCAACTAAGCCCGTGCGCCACAACTACTAAGCCTGCACTCTAGAGCCCGTGAGCCACAACTACTGAGCCCACGTGCCACAACTACTTAAGCCCGCACGCCTACAGCCCATGCTCTGCGCCAAGAGAAGCCACTACGATAAGAAGCCCGAGCACTGCATCGAAGAGTAACCCCCACTCACCACAACTAGAGAAAGCCTGCGTGCAGCAATGACGACCCAACAGCCAAAATTAAAAATAAATAAATTTATATTAAAAAATAAGTCCCTCAGATTTCTCCAAATATGATAGGAAATAGCATATTTGTAATTGCCAAAGATCCCAAGGAGAGAAAAAGCTTCCCTGGCTAGTTCCTAGGAACCCGTTTCCTCATTTTCAGGGCACCTGCTTCTTTTGAGGGTCCCTATGAATAGCTAAGGTGGTAGTCATACCCATCAGTCAGGCTGTGGGATCCCATAACATTAGAAAGCTGATGTAGATAGCACAATGCTAGGCACACAGTAGTTATTCAATAAATACTTTCTGGCTCAATGATGTGAAATATAAAACTGGGTTCTAATTAGACATACATATAGCTTTCATCATTTGGGGAAAACCAAATTTCTAAAAAAGTCCTCCTTTTCCTTTTTTTCCCTTTTTTAATTCCCCCCACCCAAAATCCTTTTGAGTTAATTTTGGGACTAACTTTTACACAAACAAAACCCACCAAAAATCAAACCCTCAAAGTTCTTTTCCCTTGAACTATAAACAAATTTTTTCTTTTTTCTGTTTTGGTAGTGAACATGAAAATTACCACAACTAAAGGTGAAACACCACTTTCACAAAACATTGGGTCAGAGATGGAAAACTCAATGGTAAATTTAATAGAGTGAAATATGATGTTAAAAACTGAAGATATGAAACACTGATCAAGAACCAGTGAACTTTAAAAACTGAAATGACTGACAATGATTATCTTTAGGAACACTGACAACCCTTAGCAATTATGTAGTATGTTGGCTGGCAAATATTTTAATCAAATGGTTTGAAAAATAATAACCCATATGTAACTGGGAAGAAAAAAATGTAAGAAAAATAAAGAGGATAAAAACAAGAAGGAAGAAGGGGATTTATCTTATTTAATCCAAAAAAAAAAAAATCCCAATCACTAAAATAGTTTACATTCCAAAAAAAGAAATTATTTGAATGCTGACATTACAACAGGCACAGAATCAATTAGATCCTAAATCAAAATTATTTCCATGCCTGCTATCCACAAATCACGATTAAAAAGCAAACTCCAAATACCACTAAATCCATTTTCTTATTTGTTACTTAATTCTATCAGTACTAACTGACAATATAATAGTCACAGAGCTTACAGACAAGGGGAACAAAGGTGATCTGTTTTTGCTCATTTTTTCACCCACTTACAGAAAAAAATTAGATAAACTATATGCTTGATTTTTCAAAACTAAAATAAGAGGCTCCCATTTTTTCCTTTAACTTTGAGCATAATTGATAAGCATAATAGAAACATTTAAAAAAAAATTCTTCTCATATGTTTGGCCCAACAGCTTCAGAAACTCTGAAATAGTCTATTTTAGGCTTCACTGAAGAAGGAGGGATACCTGCCTAATTTCTACAGCATCAAAAGAAATCCTGAGGTAGGTACAGAGAATTTATCATCAGGAGGCATACACACACACACACACACACACACACACACACACACACACACCTATCATGCATGCATGTGATGTTTTAAAAATACTCTATAAATATTTCTGAGTTCCAAAATGTATGACACATTCTAGCTTATTACCCTTTGTTCAGTATACTGTTATTTGACCTTCTGGTTTTTGCACTTTTCCAAGAAGAATGGTTAAGAATAAAAGGCAGAGGAAACTGATCACTTCCTGCCTCCAAATGATGTCATACCTATGCTTAATTGGTTTACAAGCTCAAATACATGCTATTTTCAAGGCTGTGAATTATATCAAATGACTTTGAAAGAGAAAAAGAAAAGCCATGGCTTAATTTGTTAGTGAAACAAGGCCTTGCTTGAAATTCACGTCAACTTTCCATGTGCAAAGCAACTCATCCACATAAAAATGGTCAAAAAAGGACTTCATTTAATTAGTGATATGTAGACTTTTGCATAGAAAAAGGTTACAAAGTAATACAAAAAAGACTAGGTACAGTAATTTTAAAACAAATATTTAAAAGTATAATTTTGCATAATGTTTAACATTCTCATAATGTTTATTGCTTTCTCCACACAGCAGAGAAATGAAGTGCATAATAATACATGCTGTGTCTTTGTCTTTCAAACATAAATTCTCACGTGCTCAATTTCAAAGTATTAAGAGATTATTTTGTCATTAAACAAAATAAAAACAACAAAACCAAAAAACATCATTATGTAGCACTAGTCTAGGCATGGACAAAAATAATTTATGTACATCCCATTGCATACATTCATCTTGATTTGGGATCAAATACAATCACAAGCCTGACAAAGGACATTTAAAAATTGTGGCTTTTCTCTTCCCGTTGTTCTCTCCCTGCCTCATCACTTCCAGAAATGCAACTTCTCCCCAAAAGGTGACAAGAATAGATTTTACATGTTATCGGGATGAAATGAAGAGGATAAATATGTAAAAATGAAACTGAATAAATTAAACTTTTACAAACTGGAGAGTTTTCAAGTTGGCATGAGTCAGATAGCCTCTGGTGGGCACACAGTAGGCAACTGCTTCTAGGTGCACTCTATAAATGCATGTTTTATATAAAGAAGCACCATATTTTGAGCCATAAAAAAAAAAGTGCCTGGGGGTTTGCAGGCAGGGCAGAAATGCTTGTTAATCTGAGCACTGACGTAATAGTTGCTTATACTAATACATTGTTAAATGTCACAACTTGGCAAGTTTGTACAAAAAAAGCAAACTAAGATAAAACTAGGTTTCTCAACTTGAAAATTACTTTCAGCAATCCTTTTGGCCAATAAAAACCTGTTGATTTCAACAGAGTGCTCTTTTCTGGTATTTGCACTAAAACGTCTGCAGCCTAATGCAAGACTTCTGTCCCTTCTCCTTTCTTAACCTAACCTCTACGCTCTTCTTTACTTGTGCAACGTTGTATGTTCAAAAGAAAACTTTACTAGCTCAGGCACTTATGAAACACGAATTTTTTTTTCCATTTCGTTTCAAGAAAATTCAGTCAGGGCATTTTTCTTCCCCAATTCAGACATCGTGATGCACTGCTGGATGGTTCAGTCCGTAAATTTTCCAGGAGACTTCTAAATGAAAACAAGTGTGACATTTTCAAAAGTTGCTGATGTCAGTTACCAAACTGCCTTAAACTGAAACAGAGAAAAAAGATAATACCACATTTCCACTTCTGAGGTTTGTGTCTCAAATAGCTTTATTGTTCCTTTGTGGATCCGCAGACATCTGTATGGCTACTTTCAGGGTGCAGAGGTTTTAAGCTGACTCTGAAATGAAGGACATTCAGTTACTACTGCAAGAAGTTCAGTGAAAACTTAAAAAGCTCCCACTTCTGTCCCCCAGGGTCGGTACGGTTTACTGTTTGTTCCACTGCTTGTCTGCTGAGGGCTGGACGTGGCTGATACCGACAAAGGAGGGCTGATGGCTGTGGCAGCTGCCACTGCTGCAGCTGCGTTTGGAGGGAGCATGGGGAACGCCCCAGCGAAGGACAGAGGGAAGCTGTGCGCAGCTGCCGTGGCTGCGGCAGCGGCCGCGTGGACAGTGGCTGAGAGGGACAAGAGGGCTGCTGCAGCGGCCGCGTGGACAGTGGCTGAGAGGGACAAGAGAGAAGTGGAGAGAGGTGGCACACAGGGGGCGACACTGCCTGTTGATGGCATCCGAAGGGCAGAGTCTGCGTGGGCAAATGTGGCCGTGAGGAGGGTGGAGCCGTGGGCAGGAGGCACTTCTGAAGTGGTGGAGAGGCGGCAAGGCGTGGGCTCTGAGGTGTGGAGTCCGCTGGGTTGGAGCAGGGCTGCCGGAAGGTGGTGGAAGGCCGCCGCCCAATGGTGAGGATGCAGGGGGTGATGGTGGTGGGCCAGAGAGGAGGTCATTGCCGCCGCCTCTCGCTGTGAGGCACATGTGCTGAGATGAGAGACCAGGCGCACCCGCAGTGGATCGGAGGAGTCCAGGCCTTCCACAGAGCTCAGGTACCTTGCCACTTCGGTTAAGCACTCTCGGAATCCAATGCTCATGAAGTCCATGGCAAGAGCATGGGCGTCAAAGTAGCCTGAAAGGAGGTTTGAGCAAAGTGGGGGCCAGGAGAGACAGTGAGAGACAGAATGATACAATTATGAAGAAAAGCCACCACCTACGTTCCACCCTGTCCTTCAGAGATTTAAGAAGAACGACGATCCTCTCTGAGAACGTTGACAGCTATTTATGGTTGTAATTTTTGCAGAAGTTAAGAAAGTGCACTTTGCAATTCACATGTGTGACAACTCTGGCAATGCTATGTACTGCAGTTGTTCCTGCAACCAAATAGCACAGTGGGGAAAAGAATTAAGAACATCTGTATTTCAAACACTTCCAGAAAAAAAAAATGGTGTCTCTTCTTTTGTATTGTGGGATAGTGAAATTTTCTAGTAAACTTTTCCATGGTATAACAGAGTACCAGTCTCTCTGTCTCTGTCACATGAATTGGAGATTAAAGGGTTTATCTGAAACATCCTCACTCTCTTGGCATTTATAACTGAGATGTGAAATGCATATGAGCAGTTTGAGGACTTTTTAGAAATGTGCCAGAACTGCTCAATAAATTCATAAATGCTTCTTGACTCAGTGTTTTTTATCAACAAAATGAAAACACCATTACTCTGTATGGAAAAAAGTTAAAGAAGCAAAATGATTTTTAAAAATTTGGTTACTAATTTGAAGATCTTATTTTTCTATCAGGTAATATAACATTACTATAGCTCCTAATTTTCCTGAAGTCCAAATATATATTTCTTTCATTGGTTAGCTTACTTTTTTCTGGCATCCGTCCAAGAAAAAAATGTATATTAATTGTGTCAGTGTGTATGCACATACCCTTACACCTAAGGTTACTACCATTAAAATCGCTAGAGCTGGTCACATTTATGAGAATCCCTTTTTATCCAAAGATAATACATTAGAATAGAAAATAGTAACATCTGATTAGTATCAGTGCCAATTTAGGGTACTGAAAATAATCAGACATTTGGGGAAGTGTCACCACTTTGATTAAGTGACCTCTAATATGTATAAATGTATCCTTTTTAGACTTTTTTTCTCATTTGCAACTTTTTTTAAACAATTATCAAATTAAAATTTAGTCTACTCACTTCGGGGATGTGTATATACATAAATGAGAAATATCACATTCAAACAAGGTTATTTTCATCTAAGGCATTTACTACATTCCCTTTTTTATGTTTTTTTATGTAGATCAAAGTATTACCTGTTTTGTTTATCATCTATTAACAATTAGACTAGCACTTTGGAAAATAGTAGTCACAATATTCAAAGTCCAAGAGCTAGAATTTCAACAGAAATTTGGAAGTCCCAAAAAGAAATTTGAGGAAAAAATATACACCATTAAGACAGTAACAACAACAGCACAAAGCTGACATAAGAGAATATCAGGAAATGTGGAAGATCAGCAACAAAAAGGGTCACATCATCCCAGGACTTCAGCATGGTTAGCAATAAAGCCCCTGGCATTAGGAGGGAAAGTTCTTCCTGAAGGAGACGCCTCCAAAGAAAGACTTCACATAAGAGTCCTCAGGGTTCTCTGCAAGGCTTTGCAGACTTCTGACTTCGTGAGAGAAGGGAGATAATCATCAGAGTAGACGAGAGTCCAGAAACCCAGAGGGATCTAGAAATTTAGGTTACTCTACTAAATCCTCTCCAGAAACTCCTGCAATACCAAGACAGATTAAAGAACGGACCAACAGAATTGTACCCCAGGAGCTTCCAAGAATCTTCATGAGTCGGCATGAAGTAATTGAAATTTGTGATTTGCGAGCTGTATGTGGCTGTATATGGGTGAGTTCTCTGTTGCATCTTAAGGATATAAATTATGTAACTCCTATACTGTTGCTGAATGCAGAGGGAAATGATGATGAGCAACTGTCTCCTGCCACCGCATCTTGGGCCAATAATCATAGCACAGGGGTCCACACCACTTCCATCACTGCTCTCTGGGCTTTAAGTGAATAAGCTCACAACAACCTTGTGAAGTGAACACTATCACTGTCCTCATTTTACAAATGAAGAAACAGGGGTTCAGAAAAGGTCAGTCCTTTATCTAGGGCCACAGACCAAAAAAAAGAAAAACAAGCCAGGATTTGAAACCAGGCAACCCAAATGCAGTGTCTGTCCTTCACCAGTACATCTTGAGGCCGCCATAGCAGCTGTGAGTCTTTAACAATTCGAGCCCACACTGCCAGCCCCACTTCTTCAAGGCCCACACGTTCTCCTGTGAGGTGACCTCTCTAATGAGCTGGCAGTCAGGCGACTTGTATGGAGCTTGCTCGGAAATGTCTGTTCGCAAACTATTTTGGGATGAATTTTAGGACTGTTCAGGTAGCCAAGAATAGCAACCACGATGGAACTTAGTGTTTATAATAAGGCATAAGAACAATATTACTCTTTAGAAGTATAGCTCATGCCAAATATTTGAAACGCTGATAAAAATTCTTAGCCTTGTGGCTAACAATGCCAAGGGAAGTAAAGCAATCAAACAACTTTCCCTGCATGATCACTCACCTGATCAGTCCCCTAACATCCTGAGGGAGCAGGTGTAGAGACAGAATCCTGGGGCGGCGGGGGGCCTTGAGGGCTCAGAGTGCTAGTACAGGCCTCCTTGTGCAGCCCAGCATCTCTGTCTCGGCTTAAAGGTGGGTCAGTGGCCAAGCTAGGCTGGATTACAGGCTTCTAGAATTTCATCCAGTTCTCTTCCCTATTACGTAAGAATATTTGCAGCCTATGCTGAGGGTTACATTTTAAAGAGTAGAAATCACAATGCCATACCCATTCAGGATGGTTATTCAGGCAGGACAGTTCCTTGAGAAGGTACAACAGAGGGTAAGTCACATTGTGTGTGAGGGTGTCCCTTTACAATGATCACTGACCCCCCACCTGACACAGGTAAAAGATGGTGAAGGTCAGGGCTGATGCTCCACAGGTCCTCAGCTGGAGTTTAACACTGAAATACTTCTGTACCAATTGATAAATAGCTATTTCCCTCCAATGCCCTGCCCCTGTCCTGATCTAGGGCAAACTCTGATACTACGTAATAAAAGGCTAATGCTGAGCAGAGATAAGTGTTCAGGGTGCAGCTGCAGCACTTAGTCCCTGTGGTACCCTCTCCTTACCCAGTTACCAAATATATGGAACAGCACCCTTGGCTAAGATGAATACCAAAGGCCTGCTTGAAGGGTGAAAAAGATATAAAAGGGCAAAATCAAGTCTGAGTGATGTGTGAGAAGTGGGATAATGAGATCTGAATGAATACTACATCGTTTCGGATCTCAAGTCCATTCATAGCATGAAGTGAGGGTCAGGAACTGGACTATTTTTCCCTAAATCACTATCCAGTACAGAAGACATCTCTCCACAGCGCTGGGCCCAGGGCACCTGCTCCTGTTTGCTCTTCACAGGAATGACTGCTCCATCAGCGGTTTCCAGGACAGAGATTCACTACCTGCATTTCAAATGCTCTGTGTGGTCTAAATCCAAGATCAACCAAACTCTGAGAACAACAATGAAAATTCACTTCCTTTGGAATAGCTGCATTATAGTGAGTCCTATCCCTGATTTAACGGGAGACTGGGGAGAGGGAAAGAAGAAGAGAAAAAGATTGTGCCTAACCTCCTGTTTATGTTTGGATGTTTGTGTGTTTGTTTTGTCTTTCTGTACAAATTCCAGCATGCACTTCTGAAAGTCCCAAACAAACCTCTGACCAGGCTGCTGTGAATGGAGCTTTACTCCCACAGTATTATAAAAGCAAACACAAGCCCAGGGTCAAGTGCTTCTTTTGTTCCAGAAGTTCTTTCCCACGAGTTCAATCCTGCCATTAGCATTGATTTCCACGGCTTTAATCTGGGACCTCCTATCGCAGCTCATTAAAGAACTGTTCAACTATGACTTCCTTACAATCTTAGGGAGAAAAAATGAAAAGAGAAAGGTAGAAGGGGGGGGGAGATGAATTCACCTACTCACCTTTACCCCCAGTTGCCTGGAGCATCTTTAAATGATCGACTGTCATTTGCAGTATTTCAGCTTTTTCTAACTTTGCAGATCCCTGAATAAACAAATAATAAAATCTTATAAGTCCTATGGAAATGAATTTGGAACAACTTACCCTGAAGTTTTCATTTTCCCTCTCACTAGAAAATTCTAAGTTTAACTTTTTCACAGAAAAATATGAATTCTTCCTGAACTTTACATGAAAACACTAATTGCATCACACCTAATGACAGATATTTGCCATTTTAACTTTTAAAGGCTAAAAGGCATAATAATTTTTAAACACAAAAATAATTACACTAAGATAACTCTACTCAAACTACTACAACTGCAAAAATCTCAAACTGCATCAAACTGGTTAATAATATACTTTATTTTATCAGGGGATATACAATAGTCTTATATAATGCTGAGGTCTAGATCAACTGAATCCAACTCTGGAGGAAAAGCAGATAGGATCTCAGCAAATTATTGTTAAAAAGCATATCTTTCAAAAATAGAAAATTCTATTATGCCTTTAAGGTAATTCATACTACACCACTGTAAGTATAGAACCAAGTGCGAAGGGAAGACTTTCAAGGTTTTTTTTTTCCCCAATAATTACCAGCAGGTGTCACTGTAAATTTCAAGATCATAAACAAGGAAGCATAATCTAACTTTAATCTAATAAGCATCAAAAATGCTTAAGGATATTTGAACCCTTTAAAATAGTTCTTAATAAAATTGTCATTATATTTTTATGCCCCTCCCCCATTTTAAAACAAGGCCACCTCTAGAAACCAACTGAAATACAAATGTGCCACTTCAAACTGTCTCAGAGGGCTGTGGGTGGCTTCATATTCTTGGAAGAGCTAAATAATTAAATCAGTATGTTTTCTTGAAAAGGAAACTGCAGTTTATTTCAGGTTCCTATGCTTTACTTGTTTTGTGAAAATTGTCAGCACCCAGTACATGGTGAGAGTGCCAGAGTGACTTAAACTGCTTGAAAGAACACTCTTCTAATTATATTGTGACAGGGCCAGCTCTCTAGGGTTGGTCGCCAAGCTCAGCAAATGGGAAAGCCTGTGTTTATGGTAACTAACTGCCAAACTACTGAGGTTTGCTTTTAAGGTTTAAGTCGACATTTAAGGAAAAAAAATCTAACGAACTCCAACCCCCCCAACCCCCCACCAAAAAAATCACCAAACTGTTTCTCATAATTGTAGACATTTCAGCACTGAAAGTAAAAACGTCACTGATTACTGATATTTTCATTTTCAACGTATTGTCATGGGAAATGCTAATAATCAAAACTACAATTTGCCCATTACATTTAGCTCATTAAAGACAGTTTCAGCATATAGAGTGGTGCTTTTCTCTTAAAAATGTATAGTCAACAGCATTTGACAACTTGTACTTCTGTCAATGTTCAGTTTTTCCATGAATATGTACAGTAGTTTCAGTGAAAGTGACTAATCACAAAACTGCAGTTTCTGGATAATTTCCAAGGGCTTTGTAGGGCTTGCTTTATAATGTTTGTGGTTCATGAAGTAAACAACAAAATGGAATAAACAAACAACAGCTGTCTTATACCCTATTTGAATTTAATTGAAAGTTATTTTCAACAAAGGTATGATGCCATACTCTTTGAAAGATGCTCTTTGAAATCTATCAGCCATGGCGGCAGAAGGAAAAACACAACTCTTCCAAAATGAAAAGGAAGATTTAAACATTTGGCTTCCTACTTTACTAAGTGCGCAAATCTTTTTTCCTTCTTTTTTTGGTAAAGGGATACTTTAATTCTGAAAAGGGGAGTTTATGGCTAGTTTGATTTTTTACCAAACTTCCACAAAGATGCCTCGAAACAAACATCATTCTATTAAGCCAGGGATTAAAAATGAAACCAAGTGGTTTGGTAAATAAATTTTGTTAGTATTATTATTTAGGAAATAGAGCTAGAGGTGTTACTTCCTCGGCTTTGATTATTTTTTAAAATAAAAAGCTTACTTTTTAAAGAATAGTTTGAGACAAAAATGAAATGTCACATAGATATCTTTTCTGAAGAAGAATACTACATACAGCTCAGTTTTAAACAAAACCACTACTGGTATTCACAGAAAGAACAGAGAGAGCGTGAACATGTTACCCTTAAGGGAAAATAAGCTAGAGAATGGAAATGTTTTTCAACTTCATGATGGATTATGTTTTTAATAGTTTTGCCACAACAAAGCATTTTATTGAAATAGCTGCTCTGTGCCAGATCACGGCACATACACCATTATTTTAATGAGCTTTAAGAAGAACCCACGTTGCCAGATGAGAGAATCAGCTTTTTTGAGCTCACTGGTGGGGTGGTCAGGATGGGGGGGCAGCTTACTTGTTTTTCAAAAGCGGTTGGCACCAGTCGTCTCAGCTCAGATAAACTGTTATTTATCCGATCTCGACGCCTTTTCTCTATTATCTATCCCCAAAAAGCAAAACAACAACAAAAGTTCATGAATACACAAATGATAAAATTACTCGTAATGGAAAAATACAACTGCTTCACATTAGGCTGGATTACATGAAATAAAAAGACAAAAAAAAAAATCACATACCCCTCTCCTTTTCTTTCTTGCCATAATCTGAGATGTCGTTGTTGGAGAATTCGATCTAATCACAGAGCTAGTACTTTGTCTATGAAATAAGAAGAGTTTCTCAGGTGCTGCATTAACATAACAATTGTTTTCTTCTGGGTGCTTGATGGCACCCATTAAATATTCAGAGTGATAGCACAGTTCAGATCAGCATTATTTTATTCTTAATTCTTGCTCTTTACAGACTTTGCTTCCAGCCCTTATATCTCTTTTCAGATAGGAATCATGCCTTTTTTTCTTTTAATTTTAATGAGTAATCCAGATGTCAAATCTGCTGGCAAAAACGTCCCTAAACTTTTACTGAGCCTCCCAATGAAATAATTATGGACAGTCAGGGTGAGAAGTGAGATATTAGTACTTCCTAGTTCCACTCATAAATGTTTCTTAAAAGTCAATTAATCTCTAATAGCATCCCTCCTCCTCCCTCTGGTAAGACCCACTGAACAAAGCAAAGCTATTTTAAAATAATTACTATCAAACAGATATACAGCCATCACATGTCAAACTGTTGTCCCTAGATGCAATCTTTAAAATAAACAGAAGTTACCTTACTATTTCAAAACTCCAAGTAGTCATACAAGAAAAAAATGACAAATGTTTTCTATATTAATCTTCCAAAAGAATGACCCAAAATTAAATATGCCACTAATAGAAAAATTAAAATTAGATCAACTACTAGGTAAATGTTTTACTTTGAAAATAAAACTCTAGGTGAGTATCTCTCAGCCTTCAATCTAAGCTTAAACCTCTCAGAGTTGTAATCCATCTTGAGTTTGCTAATGAAAAAATATTTTATATCAAAAGTTCAGTCAAATCACTACACTGTCACATAATTTTTATGATCCTTTATAGTTTGTATCTGTTTCTCTTCATAATTCATGGATACTCTGCTTCCTCATGTTCTCAAATTCTCCAGGTTCCTGTTATTTGTTCTCTTTCATTACAGAAATATTGCACACACCAGGTTCTTATTACCTCACCTTCTCACTTCTGGATCTTATTTCTGAATTAACTGTTCCCCTCATTCCCACCCCCTTCTCAACTGGTTTCACCTTTCACATGACATCTTTTGTTTTTCGGATCTTATTTTTTAAGATGACACAACACTTTAATAATTAGAAGATACTTTGCAAACAACGTTTCAAGCAAATATCTTTGCTTTTAATGATTCCAGGCTAAGGTTTGTACATATTAGAATAATAATATTGAAAGAAAACCAGTTTTCCAAACGTAGAATTTTACTCTTTGAGTGACAGCTGCAGATAAATAATTAAGGTGCTTCTGGGGATGCCAATTAGAAGCAATTATCATTTGACCCGCCTTGGCACTAAAACGCCTCCATAACCTCCGTCACTGGAAAGTGGAGGTCTGGCTTCCGTGATCACGATCTCGATATTCTCCAGACTCAGGAACAAGCAAAGAGATGATGCCTGAAACGGTCTTTCATCTGTCACTCACACTCCCGTCAGCCAAGTCACATACGATCAACCTGGAAATCTCAGCCTACTTAGCCTTGACATCGCTAATTGCTTTCATGGCTCCAAAAAGCAAGTCATCTTTTAGTCTCTTTAAAAATAAAAAAAAATCATTTTTTTCTCTCTTCGCCTGGCCCATTTTGAAAGTGATCCCAAATGCAGTTTCGGTGGCGGGGGCGTCGCCCGTCTCCCGGGCGTGCCAGTCCGCACGCCCAACGCTGACAGCCGGGGACCCTCCTTCTCCAACCTCTGCACACTTTCAGCCGCCCCACCCCTAGGGTGCAAACCCACATGCCTCGCCCCACCCGAACACGCGCTCCGTGAGCGCCCACCCCTGAAAGTTTTTCGGGCAAAACTTTCCCCGCTCGGTTAGAACGCGGCGGAGAGGAACCTCGGGATTTCCAAGTAGCCGCTCGTACACAAAGCTCCCCGATGCCTCGGGCTCCGGACAGCTCCCGCCGAGCCCACGCTCACCCCGAGTAATTGTTCTCGCTCCCCACGTCGATGGTCTCGTCCATGTCGCTCTCAGAGGTCGTCTCCTCGCAAGGGCGCTTCATCACGGCGAACACCGCGCGGGGTGCAGCCGGGCCGGAGCCTCGGACACCAAGCCGGACGCAGCGCCCTCCCTGCCTGCCTCCTCCCTCCCGCCCTCCCTGGGCCCGGGCAGGCGCGGCTCCGCCGGCGGCGCAGTCGGCTCCTCGCAGCTCTTTCCCACGCTGCACCCCAGCTCGGCCGCAAGAGCCAGCGCCGGCCACGCCTCCCCGCGCGGGCGGGGCCCCCTCGCCCGCCTCCAGCGCGCAGGCCCCCGCAGCTCCGCCGGGCACCGCCTCCTCGGGAGTCAGCGTGGCCCGGGATTGGCTGGAGCGGAGGGGCGGGGCCGCGCTCGCCAGAGCCCGCCGCGGAGCTCTGCCTGAGGCGTGGGAACGCGGCCGCGCATCTGGGGCCCGGGAGCAGAGCGCGGGTGGGGAGAGGCGGCAGCGAGCGGGAGCGCGAAGTCGCTAACTCTAGATAGGGAAGCGCGCGGACGTGGGCACAGGCGCGGGCGCGGGCGCAGCGGGGGCGGGGGCGGGCTGGCGAGGGGCGGGCTCTGGACCTTGGGTTTTGGCGCTCCTCAGCACCCAGCAGTCTGCCGGTGAAGTTTCAGCCCTGTGTTTAAAGAATAACCCCAAGCGCGTGGCTGAGTGTGAGCGAGCGTGTGTGACGTCGGGAGGCGCCGTGGCTTAACCGAACCGTCCCACTCGGCTGTCCCTTGTCTGGACCAAAACTGCTGACTGACCCTGGCGGTCACATTTGCCCTCTGGGGTTTTCGAAAACTCTAAATCAAAGTTGCTTTTCTCTTTGGCAACTCCCAAGGCTACTTCCGCGGCCTCTGGGCTGTGAACAGATAAGGACGCAAGTTTCCCCGACCAGGTACTTAACAGCTGGCGGTCGGAGGGTCTGAGAGACCGGCCACCAAACGATCTTCGATTTGCACCTAATCAGTTCTTTCCATTTGGCCACTGAGGCTGTGGATAATAGATCCCGTTGAGTAGACCGTGGGCTGGAGTTGTGTCTACTCTGGTGGCAGGAAGGACTGGAGCAATGATGTGGGTATTTCAGGACACAATTTTAGTAGTTTTCCAAGTTCGAGTTTTTCGGGCTTGGATTATCCAGATAATTGCAATTCTCCACACTCCCTGGTTTGGGTAGTCGCAGCGGTAGAGTTAAGTAGAATCCCGGACGTGGAAAAAAAATCGCGCTTGGAAATTAATTCGTTTTCTAGAAGACGAATGCGTGTCCAGTCTTTAGTGCATTGGACAGCGTGGGTTGTATAAAACTCGAGATGTGCTAGTAAAACATGTTTTCATCCCTCTGGGTACAGTAAGTGAGGCGGTGGGCCCGCCGGGGCGCCGCGGTACCGGGAGGCGGGCGCCGGGTTGGTCGGGGTTGAGCTCGAGACTCCACTCGTTGCGCCGGGACAGCCCGGTGCTTAGGGCAGAAAAGCCTCTGAGAGAGAGTCGTCAATCAGTCGCCACAGCCCTACGCCACGACGGAGTCTTATTTTTCTGGGGATCTGCTTAAGGCGTCCCCCTCTGACACTCCATTCTCTCCTCACACAAGACCGGCGCGGGGCGGGAAGGAGAAGAGGAAGGGATAAGACTTGAAAAGACCGGGCCCGGGCCGGGGCAGGGCAGGGGGAGAGCGGGAAGGACCTGCAGTCCGCGGGTTAAGCCCTCGTTAAACCACAAAACCCCTTCCCCACACGCCCACGTCTCTTTTGTGCGGTCCCCACCGCGGCGCCTGCAATAACCGTGTGAACAGAAACCCGAAACGTTCCATCCTGACTTCTGAAACTTAACACCGGGCAAAACACACAGTCGTCGGGAGCCGGGCGGGGCCTGGTGGGGATGCACCCGGTCAGCTCGAGGCCGCGGGGGGCGGTGACCCCCCAGCTCGGCTGTGGGCCTCCCCTCCGCGGGGGTCTCCGGGCCTGTGCTTCGCTGCAGCGCCGGCTGCCTGAGCGCGCTGCGGGGAGCCGAGCGGGCTCGCCTCCCTTCGGCTCTGACCTCCCCCGACGTCACTCGGCTCTCGGTCCTCACAGCCCGGCTAGGGAAGAGCCAGATCTGCGCGGGTCGCCCGTCCCACCTCCCCGGCGGATGCGCCCGCGGCCAGTCCGCGCAGGCCACGCGGGGACACGCCGCCTCCAGCCTGGTGCGAACTCAGCCTTCACGACTTTCAGCGAAGGGTGCGCATTTTTCTGAAAGCGAATGTCTACAGATGCAATTAACCTTGGCCACGCGATCAAATTAGCGGGCGCCTCAAAACGCCGGGGACAAAACCTGAGATAATCACTGAAAAAAAATTTAATAAGAGTTCTTTCTCACTATCCTACTGTAATTATAATAATTGCGAAGAATTGCGAAGAGGGAAAGGACTTGCTTGAAAAAAAGTTGCAGCTGGTTAAAGTTTTTCCATATTTGCCTCTGAAGACTTAAGCACTGTACCATGGTATAAAGAAAAATGTGGCAGGGACGTTCGAAATGCACACGCGGACTTACTGTCGCTTAAAAATACTTCTTAAGCAAAGAGGGTCATATTTTTTAGAACAGTGCCTGGTACGTGGTAAGCGCTCTATACGTCTGTTAAATAAACAAGAATGCGTAAGGCAAAAGACCTCGGCGTTTTGAACACGACCAAAGTAATAACATGCTAACTTAATCTGCAAGATACTTGATCGCAATTAGGCAGCACGAGATTTTTCAATTAGGTCTTTTATTCCCCTCTAATATCCCATTTGCCTATGCCCTGGTCAGGCGCCTTGTCTAACACTGAGAGTGCTTCTCGGGTCAGAGGGAGAAACGGAGGAGACTCTTTAAAACGCCCCAGCATCATTAAAAACGGTGGTGGATTCTCTGGAGTGCGGGAGCGAGGTGTAGGGGTGGCGTCTGCAGAGAGAAAGAAAAGAGAATGAGAAAACCGCGGGATTTCAAGCTTCATCGCCCCTCAGCGACATCCTTTTCAGTGAAAGTTGGTTGAAGGCTTAGGAAGAACTCGGGCAGAAGAAAAGATGTCCGCGCGCAGAACAAACCACAGTTCGTTCCTTTTCAAACATTTGTACAATGAGATAATTAGACCGAAAGATACGAAGAACTTCCCTACAAACGAAATGCCATTAGGAAAGAAAGCCCAGAAAGACAGATCTAAACGAAATGGAGGAGGAAAGACTCAGCTGTCTACCCGAAATTGGTCCTTTCCTCCTTGTTTTGTCCTTCTGTGATTTAACTCACTTACTGACGTGAGTGAGATGTCTTAATATAAGGTTACAGGTTTTGCACCTGTATTTTATACATCTGGCCATTTTGACCCTGTTATAGCTTGTCCCACAAAATTTGAGTTGTGTTGCATAAATTAATGAAGTGATTACTTTGCTGCATTTTAAAATCCTCCTTGCAGCATTTTTGGAAGGAAAGTAGGATTTTTTTTTTTTTTAATTCTAGGTCTGCTTTTTTCCTCATTAGAGCACTCTGATTTTTCAAGATCAGTGGTCACACTTTGTTACTTGTTACTTCTCTGAATCCTTTGAGGTACTGCTTACAGTTACTTTAAAAAGTGTCAGCCACTCCAGTGTTTGGGTTCGTTAGAAAGTCACTAAGACATGACACCACTTTAAAAAAATGTTTTAACTTAGCTTCACAGTGAATACAGGCAGCTCTGTTATTTAAAGACCTGTATGTTAGTCTAACCTTATGTTCGTCTGTAAGTGCACATATGCACTTCTTCATATTGAGAAGTCCAATATTTTGCCCTTTTTGAAATATAATTATTTACACAGCTTTCTCTTGCAAATGGAAGACAAGCAGGTCGCCCCAAGATGTGCTAGTCTATTTGCAATTGCTGGGGCAGGTGACATGCACGTGCGTCTGTGGGCAGCCTTGCTGGGCTGGCTTCCCTGACTACAAGGCTATTGTGAGCTGGCAACACTTTAAAGTGTGTGAGAATGCTGCACCCTGAGAGTGGAGGCCAAAGGCAAGATCCTTGTAAATTTCAATACCTTTCTCAACATCAGTCTGGCAGCACGCAGGCCAACCTAGGGTCACTGTGCGACACACATTAGCAAGCTAGTAAAGCAAAACAAAGCTGGAAGCAAGGGCAAATTTAGGCCCACCAACCTTGAAGTCATCTATAAAAGGGAACTACTTTACCAGTTAACAATTATCCTTGCCTGGTTACCCACAAAAAGTGCATCGTTTTTTCTTGGCTTGCCCCAATAGGTGCTACTTATTTTTTACATCAGAAGCTTCAAGGTAGGAAGTCTAAGACCCAAAGGCCCCTTTCTTGGAGATTAGAATGTTTAAATTGATCTCTGTTATTAAGGGGCAATTTATTTAAAAGCTTTTATTTCATGAGTGATGTTATTAGTACCTAGCACATGCCCAAGGAGGAAGGCTGGTTTTATTGCAGGACACTGGAGAAGAGGGTTGTATAATTAAGTAACCAGTTTTCCATACCCCTGTAAGCAACAGTCAAAAGATAACTAAACTCACTATATTAACTTCCTCTTTGTGAGTGTTAGATTGATGTTGGCAGGCTTTTCTATTAAGAAAATTCTTTTACATTTTCATTGTCTTGAAGTTGGTTTGACTGAGAGATTTTTTTCCCCTTCTCTCTTAGGAATACAATAAGAAATATTCACTCCTCTCATGGAAATCATCTTTTAACTAACTTCATCCCCATCCTCTAGAATAGAATAGTGCCTGACACATAATGGATACACAATAAATGGTTTGTGAGTGAATTTCTTGTCAAAATTAATGAACTCCTTGCTTCTCTCCATATATACAGAATTTAGCTACATCAGAATACTAAAATGGAAATAAACAACTGTGAAGTGAAAAAAATCATGAAAAAAATTGAAAAGAATATACTTAAACATGAGCAGGAAACCATTTGCTGTGAATGGGCCCTTAGGTCACTCCTGAGCTTCCTGGCAGCCAAGTCAGAAGAAACAGAGTGAGTTTTCTAATTCTTGTAATCGGAAAAGAGGAAGCACATTATTTGTCAAAAAAGAAAAAGTTTA